TGTCAAATTCTCTAATTTTGGTGAATATTTTTGTCATTTTTGGTAAAAAGTGATATTTTTGACTTCTTGTTAAAAACCTCAAGTCCGATTGCTTTGATATCACATATATAAGTACTACATGTGCACCTCTCTGAGATTTGTTCATTTCGTGATGATATCTTTAATTCTCTAATTTTGGTGAATATTTTTGTCATTTTTGGTAAAAAGTGATATTTTCAACTTCTTGTTAAAAACCTCAAGTTTGATTGCTTTGATATCACATGTATAGGTACTACATGTGGACCTCTCTCAGATTTGTTCATTTCGTGATGATATCTTTAATTCTCTAATTTTGATGAATATTTTTGTCATTTTTGATAAAAAGTGATATTTTCGACTTCTTGTTAAAAACCACAAGTCCGATTACTTTGATATTACATATATAGTTACAACATGTGGACCTCTCTCAGATTTGTTTATTTCATGATAATATCTTTAATTCTCTAATTTTGGTGAATATTTTTGTCATTTTTGGTAAAAAGTGATATTTTCAACTTCTTGTTAGAAACAGCAAGTCCGATTGCTTTGGTACTATACATATTGTTCATTTTCTAATGATACCGGTATCTTCTGTTCTTTAATTGAAATGTGCATTGCTAACAGCGAAGCTATCTCAGCCGAGAGGCTGCTTGTTATTAATTGAAAGTTGTTTGTAAATGTTTTTTTTTAGGAACACAATCTGAAATGTGATTTTTATCAAGAACAGTGTGGCTTGAACTGTGGTCTTCTGATCCATCGAAAATCCATGGAAATTCATCAGAAAAATGAATGTGCTAAAAGGCTGGTGTCATGTGAATATTGCTTTATAAGGATAGCATTTGACGAACAAGAGGTGGGTAGTAGAATCACATGACCTGTCTGCTAGTCCTTGGCAGTTTTGTAAGATGGTGTTTTCATAATTTTTTATAGTGATGTTTATCAAACCAATTTTCTATTGTCTTTTGTCATGAACAGAATCACTTGAAAGAATGTCTCAAATTTCCAGTAGTGTGTCAATATTGCCAGATGCAGTTAACAAGAGAGGAATTAGCAGGTCACATCGAGAAAGACTGTTTTGAAGTTATCGTTTCTTGCTCCTATGCCAATATGGGCTGTAAAGAAAAGGTAGGATTTTAAGTTCAACTGCAGGTTACCAAATTACCAAAGAATACATAAAAAAAATACATGTACTTAAAAGTATGCATAAATCTTTGACCATGAAATCAGTGTAAATTATTAAAAAAATATTTAAAAATACTATAGTTAAAAATACCATTTTCAATATTATCTGAGAAATAATCAATTTGATCGAAATTCAGATATTATTTATGATTATTTTTAGGTATGTATGTTAAATATTGCTTTACTTCACAGATGACAAGACGAGATATGCTGATGCATGAAAAAAACTCTTTGGTGATCCATTTACAGTATGTTGCATCTACCCTGAATGAAATGAGGATAAAGTCAAAACGACAATTAGAGAAACCAGAAACAGAAACTTTTTACCATTCTTGGCACACCGATGGTTGTAAAACTGATAATGAAGAAGGAGTTACCTATTCTACATCATTCAGTGATCCCCCTAGTTTTACCAATAAAGAGCCATCAGGTGCATATGCCTTGGAACACAGTGCTTTTGACTTTGCAATACCAGATAGGGAACCGATGAGGAAGTTTTTACCTAAAACATTTAATAGTAATAGGTCTAGGCAGTTTTCACCAGCCACAAGTCATAGATCAGCACGTCACCATGACGATATTCAATCACAGTATTCTACCCAGACCATGTCACATATGGACTTATCAATACTGGCTGAGAGAATGAGATATCAAGAGGGTCACATCGCAACTCAAGAACAAAAAATTTTGGAATTACAGGCTAAACTTGAAAGCCGAGACAAAGAAGTGAAGGAACTGACACAAAAAATAAGTCGTTGGGAAGCAATTGTTATGAGCAATGGTATTTATTACTGGAAGTTTGAGAATTACACAGAGCTGCAAACCATCACAAGAAGTGGTGAAACCAGCGTTGTGCATAGCCCTGGATTTTATACTGGTTACTATGGCTACAAGCTATGTTTACGTGTGAATCTAAATGGAATCGATTCAGCCCACAGTTCTCATGTTTCATTGTTTGTACACTTTATGCAGGGGGAGTGGGACGATTTCTTGGATTGGCCATTCTCTGGTAAAATTACACTGACTATTTTGGACCAGAACGAGGATACAAGGGTTCGTAATCACATCAGTGAAACCCTGATTGCAAAACCGGCATTGGCCGCATTTCATAGACCGAAAACCAACCGCAACCACAAAGGATTTGGGTACATGGAATTTGCTCCCTTGAGAACGATTCACGCTGGACACTACATTAAAGAAAACTGTCTTCTTATCAAGGCGGTTGTACATTCAAATTGATTACTCCGCTGTTCACACATTTGTGCTCATGTGATTGTGTTAATAAAGATTAACAAACTGTGACACTGTTATGTCAACAGACAGAGATAAAAAAAAAAAAAATCTCATATGGATATGAATTGCCAATTCTGTCAAAGGAATGAATTTGTATTTAAATCTTGAATACAAGGTTGAAAATGTTGATAGCAGTGGTCGTCATCACCATCAAAATGGACATGTAGCCTATATATAAAGAACATGGACTGAACAGTTTTATGAGCTCTGAATATCAGCTATTGTGTGCGATTATTTTGTGTCAACCTTGGTGTAAAACAAATGCAAAATTTGTTGACTAATTAAATTAGTAAAGAATGCTACAGTGAATATCAAGATCATTGAAATGATTGAACCAAGCATGTTTACTACACATCAAATCTAAGGACGCTGTCATGACCAGTCAGAATGTGGTTATGCTGCATTTCTGGAAATGATTCCTTGTTTATATGTTACATGTTGGTGACACATATTTCGTTAAAAGAGGTACTCTTATACCATTGTGTTGGGGTACTTGTCTTATATATAAAAACTGAGTTGTATATTTTAACTGTACATCATGTTGTCCCTAGTGTTAACATTTAACAGTAATGTATGTTTATGCCTGTGGTGTATATGAATGCATAGTTCTTATTAGTTTTGCACGATCATACAGGATAATACATTTGTATCCTACGACCGTGGACAGAATAGCGTGCCCATTGTATGTGTGCTGCATATCTGGAAATATGTGTAAAACACAAATCTGTCTTTGTGTTTTGTTATTTACCGCCATGATTTTGTTTTAGTAGCAGCAGTGAAAATTACGGTGTAAGGCTTCAGCCATGGACATAACAAACATCAGAATGCTCCATCAGTGCACATGCATATCAACCATTCCATAGTCCATATACAAAAAGATACTCACACTATCCTAGTTTGTATAGGGCAGATCTGTGAGATTGTTTTTGCATAATAATAGATATATTCACATGCACAGATGATATTAAATCATAATGCAACATTTTTTTTATACGATATAAAGCTCAATCAGGACTGTGACTGCCTTGAGAAACTTGTGTTTATGTTTTTGTGTTGGATGTTTGTTTTGTCTTCAGTATCCTCGAGATTTACATAGAAGAGATGTTCAGGGCTTGAATTTCAAAGACAATTGCCTTGATGCACAATGAATTTGCTGTGGTATCTTTTGATATATTTGAATGTGTTTCTGTTATTGCTTTGTAGTGTGTGTTATTTCCTGAAAGGAGAGGTTGCGGTTTGATCAAAATTGCTCAGACAATGAGGATCAAAATTGCACAGAGAGTGTTAAAATAATTTCTATTAAAAATTTAACAGACCAGTGTTTAAATCCCAAAGAATACTTTTATGTTGCGACATTTACTTTTGTGGTATATCTTATATAATACCATCTTTGTACTTTGATATGATTAGTCATGAGAAACATTTTTATTAGTATGTTGTATTCCATATGTGGAAGTAATGTGTATACTGCCAACAGGCATTCATTGACTGTGATTGGTTTAACAGTACCACATGTTATTTATTAGCCAATCAGTTTACATTATTTTAGCAGACTATTTTTTTCACTTTATAGACTGTATATTTGAAATTTTGTAGTCATTCAATGAACATCGGTGCTGACGCTGGATATAAAAAGCATTATAAATGTCATGGCTTCATCATCAAACAAACTATTTTGTTATTTTATGTCAGCTATATACAGAAAATAGACCTTGGATTGTTTAGTAGTTAACAGTTATGTTGATTTTGATTTGTCTTGCAGTCAAACTTGTACTAGTTTTATTTTTTTTCCACATTGGAATTATTTGTATTTTGTTGTATTTGAAAGTATGTAATTAATGATTCAACAACAAATGTATTCATTTATCAAACGTCATTTTTACAAGGTTTTTGGAAATAAGACACAAAGGTTCTATAACTCCTGATTATATACATATCCACGTACACAAATGCTATGATTAGAAATTATGTTTTAAATTAACAATATTTAATGTGGGTCTTTCCCCTTCATTAAACACCTTGAGTCTTTAAATATATCACCATCAATGTTTATTGGCCATGATAATCCCAAATGTTACACCTTGATATTAAAGTATTTCCATCTAATAATTTATTTCTATTTACATTTATTTCAAATCAGTATGACTTTAGGTAGAATGCTACTCGTATGTTTTTTAAATGTGAATTTTTGTGTTATAATCATGTATTGATTTTCTTCAAACTGAGTACAGTGATCGCATATTTTTAATTAATTTTTTTGTTCATCCTTTTAATATGATATATCAAGTATGTAAAAACAAAGAAAATGACAATAGTTTTTACTTTTGTGTAGCATTCTACCTTAGATGTCATTGTCATCACATGGTCTGATGTGAGTCCTGTTCACTGTGCGTGTAAAACACATTTTTTGTTCACATGAAATGCAAGAGTGTGTGCTGCTCAGTGAGCAATTCATGATAAACCCCATAACTTTCCTATTGAGTATTTTATTTAATATCATGTGTATGTGTGAACTCTTTGAATGCCTAAGTCAACATTCACACACAACATTAGGACCTGCATACTTTTTATATTTTTTTTTCAAATTTGATTCATAGACAATGATGAATAATATTCAAAATTAACAAAACATAGGAAACTGTAAAAATGTGTGAAAAGTTGCACCAAAACTACAAATTTGATGGGTTCAACTTAGCATGTAGATATTTGCTAATTGTGTTTATTAATAATACACAAATCATAAAGTTATAATGCAATATCAGCCTATACAATCCCAAAACAAATTTTTTAAGAAGAAAAAATCTGCATCAGAAGATATTTGATGTACTTTTTTTGTAAATGCATTATTAAACATATTGATAGTTTGTTCCAGTTTGACACCTCAAGTGACTGATAGTTTGTTTGCCTCTCTAAGTCACTGTTAATTTGTCATCAGCGTTTAGTAGTTTGTTTAGTAGTTTGCCCTAAGATTTTTGTTACATGGTGTGTTCTTTCCTTGCCCACAATGTTGATAAAAGGTTTGATATAGTGGGGAACATTGTCTCATGGCGTTGTTATTGTCATTAATAATTGTTCAAGTGTGTGATAACTTGATTAATTTTAATCCCAACAATATCAAACTTAGTTATTTTATTCATCAGTATACTACCTTTCCTAAGTTAAATTTTTGCATGTCTTGTGTGAAAATAACATAAAATATCGAGAAAATCATATTTGACTGTGTGCTTCACTTGTCACAGACTTGATATGCATTACTGTCTTCGGGGGGGGGGGGGGTTCAAGCTCACTAATGGCAATACTATTAGTCTCAACCTCAATTTTCTTAACATTTGGTATCTAATATATATTGCAAACGTATCAATAAAATACAGTTTGAACAATAGTTAACAGAAAACAAATTGTATTCACTATAATTTTGCCCATGGAATAGGCAATCGTTGTTTTGACAAAACATTTCTACATTAAGTTTAGATTTGGAAAATCAAAATTCAATGACATTTTTTCTCTACTTTAGAACATAACTTTAAAAGTGCTTTCATAATACTACCAACACCCTTCAAGGACATCAAACTTGGCATCAACTGGACTGTACAGGAATATACCAGTATCCACGTTGTAATGAACTTTCTATACAAAGTACATCACTCAATGAAAATGCATTATGTAATTACTTGATGTAAAAGTAAACACCTGAATATAGTAAAATAGGCTAAGGTCAACAAATTTACAATTTATTTACATATTAATGATTTTCATCTCGATCATATTCAAATACTAATTTTTGAAACTGATCATCCTAGATATGTCTGTTTTTGGGGGTAGTTATTAAAACATTTTTTTTGAGTTTCGTCATGATATAATGGAGGAAAAATCATAGAGGTGACAAGGTCTATCACACTTACAGGGAAAGGCAACCAGAGTTTAACTATGTTTTCTGTGAACTTGTGGTACATACATGTATATACATGTACAATCTAGATTAGAATAGGATAAATTTAGAATTTCAGTTTTTATTTTTTGAGGAGGAGTAAATAGTTACAAGAGGTAATAAAAAAAACGCATTGTTCATTGTATGTTGTCATTCTTGTAAAGAAAATCGTGTCTGATGTTATCTTGTGAATAACATTTTTATATTATTGGCAAGGTATATGTCACACTTGTACAACCTGGACATAATTACAGTTTAAATGATTTCCTACAGAGATCCTATAAAAGCAATTTTTGGGTTGATCTGTCCTTGCGTTCCTTTCTTTGTCTCAGTGTTCCCAGAGCATTTGAATTTTGGAAACTTCATCAGAAATGCTCATCTTAGTTGAAATTTTCATGGAAACTTGTCCTGCATTTTAGTACAATCTATCATATGATCAACTTAGCCTATACTATTACAGTTCCCATCAAACACCATTGTAAAGTTCGTGATTTTAGGATGCGAGCCTGTGACCTTCACACCAGCTGCAGCTGGAAATCCTAGTAATAGTATGAATTGTGCCTGGAATACCACTGTAGTGTCTGCCCAAGATTATTATGCAAGAGAATTGCCATCAGAATAAATGTTCGAAGTATTTACCCCACAACCTATATACATGTACTTGACTTAATTTTTTGGCGAATGTACATTGTCTTGAGTTTATTTTCAATCCGGCACCACAAAACTAGGCTCAAGTGTTCATCAAATGATCGTGAATATACTAGAATATCATCAAGATATATCAGTAATATCTTCCAATTTAACTGTTGTAGTACATCCATCATAAGATGTTGAAATGAGGCGAATCCCCCTTTAAGCTTAACACCATGGTATTGAACTCGAGGTGAACATTATGTCATGAGAAATCTGTTTGGCATGATCAGAATTCTTAATGGGCAGTACTTGCCAATACTGTTTTGTTATATCTAGTGATGTAAACATGTTCACCCCACAAAGAGCCAATGAACTGTCAGCAATT